TTGCACATGAAACGATACATTGCACAACAGGATTGTTTTAAAAGAAATTTGCTTTTTTACTCCCATCATGTTTCCAAAAAAGAATGTTATCATCGTAAACGTGTCCACTTGATTGTACTGCATCTCAATTTGCCGGAGCAAAAGATAAATTCGTAACCCAACTGAAAGGAAAATAACACGCAAGTATCACTGCTCACATATGAGCAAAGATTATGATTTAATGTAACTTTGTACTGAATAGAATGTATCAACAGAATTATTACTTGCTGCAGCTTCTAAATCTCCTCGAAATCCAGGTTGACGTCGTCACCAATGAGTACAAATGGTGCCCAGTGCCAAACCTCCTTGAAATTTTCAATTTCTCTCATACACTTCATGGCCTGATTGAGAGCTTCACTGGCCTTCTTGCCTTCGGCAAGTGCATCGTAGAAGAAACTCATGAACTCCAGGGTTCCCTCGTCGCCAATCGCCCACAAGGTTGCCACAACAGATCTGGCACCGGCACCCAAAAGTGCACGCGCCATGCCGACCACACCCTCGGCCATGACCTCCCCACGAGCAGTGTGACAGCAGCTAAGTACAACCAGACGTGCTCGCAACCCAGCTTCTATGACATCTTTCATCGTCAGTAGATAGTCTCTCTCTTGCGGCTGAGGGTTATCTCTTGTGGTGTTTGGTGCCAGGATAACTTCTCCAGTTTCCATTTTACCGTGCGCTGCTATGTGAACTAACGCCACTGATGATATTCGTTTTAACACTTCATCTTTTGTTGCCATTTCTCCAGTGAGAGGGGAAACATTGAGGATACGTCCGATCATCTCTACTTCTTTCCTTGCTCCTGGAAGTTGCACCAAAAGTCTACCCTCGTAGATGATATGTTTGAAACATGGGTCGCCGACAAGCAATGCACCAGTCTTCATGTGAAAGTCAGTTGGACAATCATGAATTAGTTGCAAGGTTGTCAGAGAGGGAAGCACACGAATCCTGAAAGAACCACTTAGATATGATGAGTTGGAGTCCTGCAACGCTGCATAAGGTACAAGGCTAAATGGTCCCTCAGGAACGAATGTGATCTCGTCATTGCCTTCGATCAGGTCAGCAATAGGAGTAACGATGATGTCATGCAGCTTCTTTAAAGCACTTGATTGGGAGTGCCTCACATCAACTCGGATCACATCATTGGCCACTTCCTCTTCTGTCAGCGAGTCAAGCGGAGGATTTTCGATTGTAATAGTATCTTTTGCAACGATCTCCTCAAGAGCAGTTTTGTTCAGTTGCTGGATGAAAAATTCCAATTCATCCTCAAACTTATAATCGTTGACGTGTACTTCCCTCATCTGGATATTATTTTCACCGAGGCAAACCCAGAAGTAAACGCATGGTCCATTAATGGCTATGAAAACTGTGCTCAATGGAACCCACCTCAGAGAAATGCGGGATGCGCTGGGCGTTAAAGAATCTCCAGGCTGATATTTTGTGACCATGAGATCTCTCAGAGCTTGAGCACGTCCTTTCTCTGTGGCAAGAAGAGCCTTCACAACTTGACCTCGATTGAGATTTATACGCCACAAACCTTTGTATGCTACTTGGTGCTGATTACGATAACAAATCTTCCACTGATCGTTGAGTTGAAGACTGGCCCTGATATCATCATACAATTCTACACTGGAGTAATAATGGTCAAAGGCCCTCAAGAGATTTCCTTGGCACTCATAACTGCTTCCAAGGGAACAGAGTGAGCACGCCTCTCCAGTCTTATCTCCCACTTCTTTGGATATTTCTAGGTGACGTTGATAACACTCGATTGCCATTTTCGACTCTCTTTGACGGAGATGAATCCCGCCGAGAAGGCAATAACTGATTCCCTCTCCGGCCTTGTCTCCCACTTCTTTAGCAATTTCTAGATGACGTTGATGGTACTCGATTGCTGTTTTAAACTGTCTTAGACTGCAATAAACAATGCCGAGATTGCAATAACTTCTTCCCTCTCCGGCCTTGTCTCCCACTTCTTTAGCAATTTCTAGATCACGTTGATGGTACTCGATAGCTGTTTTGAACTTTCCCAGACCTTGATAAGCGTTGCCGAGATTGCCATAACTTTTTCCCTCTCCGGCCTTGTCTCCCACTTCTTTAGCAATTTCTAGATGACGTTGATGGTACTTGATGGCTGTTTTGAACTCTCCTAGACCTTGATAAGCGTTGCCGAGATTGCCATAACTTTTTCCCTCTCCGGCCTTGTCTCCCACTTCTTTAGCAATTTCTAGATGACGTTGATGGTACTTGATGGCTGTTTTGAACTCTCCTAGACTGTCATAAGCGTTGCCGAGATTGCCATAACTTGCTCCCTCTCCGGCCTTGTCTCCCACTTCTTTAGCAATTTCTAGATGACGTTGATGGTACTTGATGGCTGTTTTGAACTCTCCTAGACTTCGATAAGCGTTGCCGAGATTGCCATAACTTTTTCCCTCTCCGGCCTTGTCTCCCACTTCTTTAGCAATTTCTAGATGACGTTGATGGTACTTGATGGCTGTTTTGAACTCTCCTAGACTTCCATAAGCGTTGCCGAGATTGCAATAACTTATTCCCTCTCCGGCCTTGTCTCCCACTTCTTTAGCAATTTCTAGATGACGTTGATGGTACTTGATGGCTGTTTTGAACTCTCCTAGACCTTGATAAGCGTTGCCGAGATTGCCATAACTTCTTCCCTCTCCGGCCTTGTCTCCCACTTCTTTAGCAATTTCTAGATGACGTTGATGGTACTTGATGGCTGTTTTGAACTCTCCTAGACTGTCATAAGCGTTGCCGAGATTGCCATAACTTTTTCCCTCTCCGGCCTTGTCTCCCACTTCTTTAGCAATTTCTAGATGACGTTGATGGTACTTGATGGCTGTTTTGAACTCTCCTAGACTGTCATAAGCGTTGCCGAGATTGCCATAACTTGCTCCCTCTCCGGCCTTGTCTCCCACTTCTTTAGCAATTTCTAGATGACGTTGATGGTACTTGATGGCTGTTTTGAACTCTCCTAGACCTTGATAAGCGTTGCCGAGATTGCAATAACTTTTTCCCTCTCCGGCCTTGTCTCCCACTTCTTTAGCAATTTCTAGATCACGTTGATGGTACTTGATGGCTGTTTTGAACTCTCCTAGACCTTGATAAGCGTTGCCGAGATTGCAATAACTTTTTCCCTCTCCGGCCTTGTCTCCCACTTCTTTAGCAATTTCTAGATGACGTTGATGGTACTTGATGGCTGTTTTGAACTCTCCTAGACTGTCATAAGCGTTGCCGAGATTGCAATAACTTGCTCCCTCTCCGGCCTTGTCTCCCACTTCTTTAGCAATTTCTAGATGACGTTGATGGTACTTGATGGCTGTTTTGAACTCTCCTAGACTGTCATAAGCGTTGCCGAGATTGCAATAACTTTTTCCCTCTCCGGCCTTGTCTCCCACTTCTTTAGCAATTTCTAGATCACGTTGATGGTACTTGATGGCTGTTTTGAACTCTCCTAGACTTCGATAAGCGTTGCCGAGATTGCCATAACTTCTTCCCTCTCCGGCCTTGTCTCCCACTTCTTTAGCAATTTCTAGATGACGTTGATGGTACTTGATGGCTGTTTTGAACTCTCCTAGACTGTCATAAGCGTTGCCGAGATTGCCATAACTTGCTCCCTCTCCGGCCTTGTCTCCCACTTCTTTAGCAATTTCTAGATGACGTTGATGGTACTTGATGGCTGTTTTGAACTCTCCTAGACTGCGATAAGCGTTGCCGAGATTGCCATAACTTCTTCCCTCTCCGGCCTTGTCTCCCACTTCTTTAGCAATTTCTAGATGACGTTGATGGTACTTGATGGCTGTTTTGAACTCTCCTAGACTGTAGTACGCGACGCCGAGATTGCCATAATTTTTTCCCTCTCCGGCCTTGTCTCCCACTTCTTTAGCAATTTCTAGATGACGTTGATGGTACTTGATGGCTGTTTTGAACTCTCCTAGACCTTGATAAGCGTTGCCGAGATTGCCATAACTTCTTCCCTCTCCGGCCTTGTCTCCCAGTTCTTTGGCAATTTCTAGACATTGCTGAAGGTACATGATTGCTCTGTTGAACTGCCCAACATTATGGTAAGTACATCCGAGACTGGCATAAGTGTTTGCTTTGACTTTTAGTTCGGCATTCGATCTCCTCATTAATTGAAGCAGACTTTTGTTATTGTTTTCAATCTTAAAACGTGTCAAGGGTTGCTAAATTATGAGCGGATTCGCAAAAATGCAATGGAAATGCGTTTTTAAAAATAATGAGAGTATTGGATAAAACCTTCAAATTGGAATGATAATTCGAGCGTGGGTTTCTTGAAGAGATTTGATTTCAAGTTATTCGAGAGTGTTGACTGGCTCTGAAGTGCATTTATTAGTTTAGGTTCAGTCGTCATGGAAATATGAGGGGCATTCAGCAGAAACTCTGGGAAATTAGTTAATATTGCCTTTTTTTAAGCAAAGTTTCATGGAATAATCGAGAGAACTCCTTAATAATATTTTAGCTTCTTTAAACTGCTCAGTGCAGTATAAGAGAACATCGCTTGCATTATGTGTAGAAGAATCTGCCTGGAACGTATTGATTATTCTTGAAATATTAGTTGCATTGCATCTCGTATCACGTTTGAAACATTCGTTAAAGGATACAGTCAATCCCATATGCAACCAGCTCCTTGCTTCTTTATACCAGCAAAGTTCGACACAAGCTCTGGCTCCTGAAAAGGAGAGAATAATTGGTGGTGCGAGGTAATTTATCACTGTTAAGGTATAAAAGTATTGATAAAATGGACTTAATTTGTCATTTGGCTGGGAACAAACATTGTGATAATAAAGGAAATTTGAACTTGTAGAAGGACTGAAAATGAACAATAAGGAGCTAATGCGAAGCGGCTACCAATCAAGGTTCAACCGATGATGATAACGATGAATTTATCTCGCGCATTCTTCATTTTAATGTGCTCTTATGCGCTTTTCAGCACTTTTCGGGGAAGTTTTCGGGCAGACTGCATTGAGCAGTTTAACTTTTGAAAGGGAATTTTTCAGGTGCCTCCTTGCCGGGTTTTTTAACGTCCCCTGCTAAGAGTCACAGAGAAGATGCAAGAAACGGGGCTTACGGTCTTCCGTTCATATCCGGGACAATAATATCAGACCATTTGCAGATGTCGTAGCTTGGGTGACAGCACATTCTCCTCAGATATTTTACGACTCTGAGTGTTGGTCCGGTCGAGGCTTAAACCCTCGACCTCCGGCGCTCTTCAACGTGAACTAACCAGGCAGCGGTATTTGAGAGCTTATTGACATTTTCTTCTGCTTTTTACCCACTAACAGACATTGACACACCAGATACAATTGACACTTGGGGTGCAGTCACCTGCCACAAACCACACAATCCTCTTTTGACGAAATCAGAGAATATAATGTTGATGGCTTATGTCTGAAACACCCACCTTTCTTAATAGCTTTGATTAAAGAGGGTTCCAATTGAACGGCAACTGTTGCATCATCGAGACATTCCACGTAGTTTGCTATGAGATTCAGGAAATAAGGTTTAAAAAAGTGGTAATCATATGGAATTGCAACAAAGAAGCCTTAAAAAATTACAATTGCTTAAAATGTAACGAGGATCATTTCTTTGCTTCATTTTCATCCGCTACAGGGCGATTTATGTTTTTATGCTACTTTTCTGCAGTTGCTCAATTTTTTTCTTCTCTTGATGCAGATTGTGTATTCCGTTATCTTGTAACGCTGCATGAGAGATTTATATATTTAGATATGAAATTGTTACCCAAACGGAAATGAGCTGTTGCCCTGTTGCTGTAAAGCTTGGCGTTGAGTCGTTCATCCTTGCAGTTCACTTTAAGTCCTTCCGTGTAGGAGTTTATCGCCTTATTAGCTTCTCCTTGTCTGTATTCTTTGTTACCTTTCTCCAGACATACTTTCGCTATTTCTGAAAACACAACGTTTTAGTGTTAATGATTTAGTAATGAGTGAAACGACCCTTGACGGATGATGCCAACTTTATATATCCAAACGAACTTTTAGGTTAAAGGAGCTTAAAGCAATGAAAAAAAAATCAGAAAAGTTTAATACCTGTACAGTTTGTTTAAGTAAAATGTATAAGCTGTTGGGAGTCTGGGCTGTAGCTTGGCTATTACTAGATCAAGTCTGTTCGGTTTACATTTAGGTCGAGAGGCTTTCACAAACCCCTTTTACACCTGGCTTACGTTTTCCAAAATATCACAAGTTTTACCAGGAGATCCTATTTCAACTCAATTTCTTTTACAATCGCCCTTCAGGAGAGTTTATCTGTGCATTTTGTTCGCTTTAAAATATGTAAGCTATTTGGAGTTTTAGCTGTAGCTTGGTTATAACCAGATCAAGTCTGTTCGGTTTACATTTATGTCGAGAGACGCTTTCCAAAATATCAAGTTAGAGTATAAAATCCCATGAGTTACTGAGAAAAAATGCATAAAGCAGAGCAAAGCCAGGACCGAAAAGGTTAAAACTTTTTAATGTTCTGATAACAAAAGAAACATCGTGCTGAGAGTGACAAGAGTTCGTGGTTTGCCCATCCTTCAGAAAAGAGCGCCGGAAAACATGTTTTTTGTTTTTGTTTTTTTCTTTACCAGTAATTGGTTTTTCCCATACATGTAATTGTCTATTGAGAACATACTCGAGGAGGCTAACTGGAAAAAATTTGATTGGGAAAGTACCACTTTCCCACGAAGTGCCATTTTGCCTGTTATAAAAGTCAGGGGTTCTACATTTTGTTGGCTGGTGGTTTACAGCGTGGGCCTGGTGTTGACATAACTGTCTAAAGAGGCGTGAAATATTTAGAAGACCAAAACAGGCGATACGGCCGAGACAAAATGCCTCCTCTTCTCTGTAGAATTCTCAAATTGCGTAAAATTTCTGCCAAACATGTATTGAACAGTAAAGGACAGGAAGGTGTTAGCGTAAATACTTTCCTTTTGGCGGCCTCAAAAAGTTACCCGTTTGCAAATTTTTCAAAACTCGACTTTGACGGGTCTGCAGGTACTAACAGCTCTCTCTTGCCGAAAATGACTTTCATACTAAAAGTGACCAAATTTAGAATACTTTCAAGTGCAAAAAGGATAATACCTTTTCAGCGCAAATATCGTTCATTTTAGGTGTAAATTTTAGATACATCGTTAATCTCCAAAACATTGTGCGTTGATTTACAAGTAAGCACTTCTAAAACTCAGAATACTGAGTTTTACGTAGCCTAGTAGGCAAATTTTGGCCGATTCTTCTTTAAGTTAGGGCTCTTCAAAGCGAAGTCGCCTTCAAATTTGTCGCTTTATTGCTTATGAATAATTAATAATGTCTATGCATTTTACCTGATCGGATCGAGCAATAAATTGTTTTTTCCTTTGGTTTTTCATTTTACTGGTAACAGAGTTTGGATTTGAAGAAACAATCTTTTTGCTGTTTCAAAAACTTATTTACAGAACATACGCAAATTTTGATGTAAATGTGACAAAAACTTCACTGGGGCGTCTTTCAAAAAATCTTGTTTCACCCGGTGTTCTTACCTCTTAAAGGGTCATTGTATACATCCAGTTCAGCGTCACTTGACGTAACTTGACTTTCCTCTGTTGCTGAAATTACCGAGAAGATATTTCAACTTTGTTAGCCTGAGTGATCACAACTATGTTCACCTACAGTTAGCGTTCTAATACTGACGTATTTGGTGGATTCTAAAAACCTTCAAGTCGAAATGATCCAAAAAAATTGTGCACCAGAATTAAGATATACTTAATTAATAAACAGTACAAAATCACCACAAATAAGTCTTTCCCTGTTGCTTTTTCTCACCTGTGGCTGGAAACTCATTTTTCTCCTCCAGTTCTCCTCCCGTTGTTGGGAGGTTACCTTCTGCCATAGCTAGAAATAAAATTAAATCGGTTGTACTGCGCTATTTTGTTAAAAATAAAAAGAGGAGACTCAGATGAAAGTAATCTAAAGAAAACGTTGTATACTTTATCATAGAGGAAGAATGAGAATCTCAAAGTTTTCTCCGCCACGCTATTGTGGTTGCGCGACAGCTCCAGTCAAGTTCCGCGGGTTGTGTCATGTTTGTTTTTTCAATTGTTTGTTTGTTTGTTTTCGTAGTCTCATCTGTTGAAACGTCGTTCAAGGCTGTCCCTTATCAAAATGCGTGAGTTGCAATACACAACCTAGTTGTACCCGGTGGACATGGATAAGCATGGATCAAAAATGATGCAATAAAAGACTCTTTCTCTAATTCCTTCATTTTATCGCGTGTGGGGCTGGGAGAATTCGCGAAACTTACTCGAAACAAAAACACCTTCGAGGGTTTGCGTTACAGTCGCGAATTCTACCAGCACCCCGCGAGCCTATTGCGTAAAGAAACACGTTTATCGACCCTGTTCTTATACAAAGTGCATGTGTAAAATGTCCCTAAAAGCTATCGAAAAATTGCTGACAAAGTCTCTTTTTTTATTAACAGAATTATAAGTTCTAGTTAATATATTCCCTCATTAATTTTTTTTGAAGGAACCAGGAAATTTAGAATAACTGGAAGAGCTGGTCCCTCTTCAAATTATGTTGGGGAAGGATCCGATTTTTTCATTTCGAATTCAAAAAAGGCAGTAAATACGAGGTTATTTTGGGGGACTGGAGAAGATGGCATTGGGAAGTGTCCTATTCATCAAAACTCTTGTTATCAAGAAACTTCATCTACAACAAATTGAAAGCCATGCGCAACACACAGACTCCTGCATAGCTTAATCCTGTAGGCCATCGAATGAATTCACTGCCAGGCCATGAGCATTTGGCGGAGGAAGTAGACTGAAAGCGAAATGAAACTGAAAAATTATTTGTGAACGAATTGCTGATCAAAAAAGAATCTTTTGCAATATTATAGTGAATGGGAAATTTAGGAACATTTCCCTGAAGCTGCTGAGGTGGTCTTGCCCTACAGAACAGGATTCTGCTCCAATATCAGCATTTACTGAGCCCACAGTCTTATCTTCCAGCGCACGATGTAAACACGCAAACATTGTACCCATTTAGTCAGTCATCGCGCGAAAAGGTATATCTACTAAAACCGAACTCTGACAGATAACCAGTTAGAAATGATACTACTAACCACCTTGTAGATACGTAGTTCGAACATTTGAATACAAAAATTTATTAACCGTCGACGATTACCGTGTCAAGTTTCGCGAGGAGTTGGATTGATGTTCCAAAGCGTTTAAAAAAACCAGAATAATTAATCGTGTCGTTGACGAGGTTTCGTTTTCATACGTAATATCAAGAAATCCTAGTCATCGTGATTCTGGTGTTGAAAATTTCACTTTTGATGACACGTTTTCCAAATTTCTCTGCTATTCATATGTTTAGGTGGGACCCGTGAGCGAGCAGGAAACCTGTGCTCCGATCGGCCACCCAAGAGTTCAAAATGTGTTTTCTTTCGATTCCTACTCCAAAGAGATAATTCAATTGAAGCAGATAAATTCGTATCCACAAGCGGACATGTATCATCCTTTTTATTCAAGAGTATTGATTGTAAATTTGAATGAAATACAATTTTTAAATAGGAGCATCGAAAACAGAGATTCACTGCACCGAAACTCAGCTCGCCGGAAAACAATTCAATTTCGGACATTGTAATACAACAATTTCTCATTACAAGAACTATTTCCTTAAAAAATAATTGAATTTAGCTTCAGTTAAAAATTTTAAAATATTTTTAAAAGAGCTTACATGGAAAGTAAAATTGTCATGTTGATAAATCCGGCTGTAATGACGACATTGATACCTTTACATGTGAAGATATAAATGGTACATTTACAGCGTGCGGTGGAGATGTCACTTTTTGAAAACTGAAAAAATTCCAGTGTTTCACCAACAACCATATTACCGTTATTATTACTATATATCGCGAATGTTACGATATCAAAAGTAACGTACCGATTGTGTATTTTTATTCAACCTCGAGCTTTGTTTCAAACTTCGTTTGTTTTCGAGAGATAATAGCTGGTTTTGATATTGACAAGAGCTATAATTATATACAACACGTTATCTAGCTTTGTCACATGCTCATCACGCGCTTCTGCCGCATAATCATCACGCACAGATAAACATTTAACTCCCGTGATCCAAAGTTAATTCTCCTCTCTAGCTGCTCCATGTTTTCTTTCAAAGTAGGTATGAAAATTTGGTGTTAACCAAAAATAACCAATTCTGCCAGATAAAACTTTGAGTATTCTCATTACCTATTTGCTGGATAATGTATTGATATTACAGGGATAAGTTACAAGTTATATCACTTCTAGGAGTTTAAGGGTTTAAGAAATTGCATCGCGTGCAGACTATTTAACCACGAGGCAAATGAGAGAAACCAATGAAATTCATAAGTGTATGTAAGTGAAATATTTTACGTTTGACAACAATAACCCGAGAAAATTCGACTGAAATTAAATTGAACTGTTGTCAGCTGCACGAAAATTAAGATTACGACCTTTATTTATAAATAAAATGAGCTCTAAACAGCTCTAATCAGTTGCAGAATGAAGATTGATTTGTACCTGTTAAACTGTCATCCTCTGAATCCCTCTAATCTCCAAATGATATCATTTGTTAATTCTACATGCCTGAAAATATCAAAAATAATATTTGGCTTTACAACAATTTCGATGAAGAAATGAAGGTAACATATTCACTAGTTTGAAAGATTTAACCTCCTCTAATGCCCAGTTCCGTGATCAAAATTGCTGTTCTTCTTTAAGAAAATTATTGTGCTTGTTTTTTTTGTTTGTTTGTTTTTTCAATTCTTTTTATGATTATTACTTGTTATAATCCAGCGAAATCATTAGAGGGAGATACAAAGCTAAAGGAATCACATCAATAATATGTATTCTTTATGTATACTTTTTTTTTCCAATTTTCTCGTCTTTCGATTATAATATGCTACATATTTCTTCATTAGCTTTCCTCACCTCAAGAATACTTGCAATAAATTTAACTCCAATCAAGTTCTTTTCCAAGAAAAATACTTGACTTCTCGTTGTATCTAGAGAAAAGCATATTTAAATCGTTTCGCGTTTTGGAAAGAATTAAAGCGGTACCATATGTACTGTTCTTAAAGAAATATCCGAGGAAGATATTCAAAATTTGTTAAATCTATGTACTCCATGCATCTTTGTGTACAGAAACCCTCAGTGTATCTTACAGGAATTTTATGAATAAATTGTTACTGAAGCAGTTGTCTTTAAGTTGGAAGAGAAATCTGAGGCACTGGCTCTCTGTCTCTTTGAGCTCCAGAATTGTCTCCTTAGTTTGGATGCAGTAAGCGAAACCATAAATAATTGTATAACAGTTCGTACGGACAACTGACGCACTTGATGCTGGAATCAGAAATGCCGCAGCTTCGTAAATCCCTCATGGGAAGATAATAAGCTACCTCAAGGTCTGGTATGTTTATCTACAAGTCAGCATTGATATTTAATCTGTCGTTTAATCTGATCTGACGGATAGCGTTTTTTTTTTCGGTCGTCGATTAAAAATGATTTTTTCTTTTGTCACGAAAGAGCCTAAAATTTCCTTTCTATCATTATCATCATCATCATCTTTTATTTCCCTTATTAACACAATAGAAAAAAATTGTTTACAGCGGTTATAGCCAGAAGACGAGGAGACCCAGGAAGCCACCGGGCTTATGGGAGAGCCACCTCACTTACATTAATAAATAAAGTAAAGAAAAAGTGCTGCGAATGTGCGGCTAAGCCAATTCAGTGATTATTTAAGTGAAAACTCTTGCATTTTCGTCTTAAAAGTAAGAAAGTTTGATGAACGAGTGACTGAAACAGGAAGAGAGTTCCAAATTTTAGGACCTTGGTAGAGAATTGTAAATTGCTTGAGATTTGTACGGCACAAATGCGTTCGATAATTACTGGCTGTTCTGGTACCATAGTTGTGAATTTGGCTATTCGTTACAAAAAGATTGAGAAGCAATGGAGGCAATAAGTTATTTCTATAATAAAACATGAATTTGGCGATTTCAAACGTATTGACTTGGAAAATATCTAAAATTACTAGTTTGGAGAATAAAGGAGCGGAATGGGCTCGATAGTCTGAGTTGGTGATAGCCCGCACAGCTCGCTTTTGCAAGTAATAAATTCTATTTAAGTTAGATACGTATGTGGACGACCAGGCGCAGTTACAATAGACGATATAAGGATAAATTAAGGTGTAGTACAAAGTGAGTTTGGTTGTAGAGGATAGGAAAAAGCGAGACCTGAATATAATACCCTTTGTATACATCATTGATTTAGCGATTTGTTTACATACATGGGTGATATAGTGTTTCCAGGTGAGATGATGATCAATATAGGCCCCATGGAATTTAGTTATGTTACATTGTTGAACGGCTGTCTGGGTTTAAAATTTACGTAGTTAGTTTTCTTTATATTAACTGAGAGCTTATTGCATTTTTGCCAAACATCAATATTTTGGAGTTCATCATTAAGTACGGATTCTAAGCAATTTGGGTTTGGGTGAGAATAAAAGATACTGGTGTCATCAGCGAAAAGCAGAGGGTCTGTTAATTCAGAGGCATTAGGGAGGTCATTTATGTACAGAATGAACAATAGAGGGCCTAAAATCGAACCTTGAGGGACACCACACTTGATGGTTTGCATTGGAGAGCAAGCTTGATTGAATTGGACAAATTGCTGGCAGCAAGAAAAGTAGCTTTAAACCACTGCAGCACCACGTTACGGATGCCATAGTGCTCCAATTTGGCAAACAAGATTTCATGGTCGAGAGTGTCAAATTATGACAGTGTCAAACAAGATTTGATGGTCGAGAGTGTCAAATCATGTAATTTAAGACATGAAACTTTCGACATTGATGATC